ACACTCCTCAGCCTGTGGTAACCACTTTTCTTTAGATTCGAGTATGAGAAAGGTAATGTGGTGTTTGGCTTTCTGTGCCTGGATTATTTCATGTAGCATAATGTCCTTTAGGTTCAACCATATTGCCACAAATTATAGGATTTCACTCTTTTTTATGATTGAATAGTATTCCATTATATACATGTAAATATATATAATTACATTGTTTCATTCATTAGTTGATGAACACTTAGGTTGATTCCATATCATGGCTATTATGAATAAGGCTGCAATTAACATGGGAGTAGAGATATCTGTTTGAAATACTGATTTTATTTCCTTTGGATCTATACCCAATAGTGGAATTGCTGACTCAATTGATAGTTCTACTTCTAATTTTTTGAGGAACCTCCATACCATAGTTAGATAGGATGAATATGTTCTGAGTATTCTATTGCACAGTAGGGTGACTATAGTTAACAATATTGAATTCAATATTTCAAAATAATTAGGAGAGGATTTTGAATGATCTTACCATAAATATGTGAAAAATGTATGAGATCAGGGATAGACTAAATGCCCTGCTTGAATAATTGTAAAATGTATTTATGCATATATATACACATATAAACATTACAATATAATCCTAAATCTGTACAATTACATACCAGTTAAACACAATAAGAAATAAAATAAAAATTCAAGCTGAAAGGATGGTACTGGCCTCTGAGAATAATCTCTAGCAGACAGAGAGAGGACTGACTACTACTCTGTAAGCTGCTTTTGTTCCCACCAGTGGAGGCAACTGTGACCAGTCAATATTAATTGGGGACCAATTCAAGATACATCCATCTCTACTCAAGGGTCTATAAAATCAATCTACCTTTAGAAACAGTGATTATTGGTTGAGTGCCTACCATTTGCAAGTCTCTGTTAAAACATTTGCATTAAAATTCCCAACAGAAACACACTATAATAACTACTAACATTTACTAAACTATTACTCCACACCAGACTGTATTGACAGATTTACACACATACACACATTTAGCCTCACTACACCATTTGACATGGATGTTACTATTATTCTTCTCTAATGAAAAAGGAAACTGGGTATAGTTAGGGTAGGAAATTTGAGACCATCACATGGTCAATAACTGAGATGTTTGTTCAGGGCTTTTGCTTCTAAGTACTACACAGAAATGCTTTGTTATAATGAAGATGGACTGACCACCACTACTGTCAATCAAATGAAAGCACTGCAAGGACCTTGTTCAAGGCCACCTTGCTAGGAAATGGCAAAAAGCACAATGGCAGCTTGTGTGTGTCTCTTCTCAAACCTTGGGTTGCTTTGTCCTTTCTCCTACTGTCTTCCTGTTTTAGACAGCTCTTATTACCTATATTCTTCAATTATTTGTTCACAAGGCTTAAACTTTGTTTGAAATTAGAGAACAGGAAAAATTGGGGGTTCCTTTTGCTTTGAATGAAGTCATGGAACCTGAATTATGCATGGTTGCGTCCCAAAGTGGGCTAGCAAGTCATTTCCACCCTGTCAGTTGACAAGAAGTTCCCTGAAGGTGGGACTTGACCATAGCAGAGCCATTAGAAGCATTTCTTCTGGGCTATATACTGAAAAATACTCTTCTATATATGTTTTAGATTTTCTGCAATGAGTAGGTATTACTATTTAAAGTAAGGGTTCATGGGTAGTGATGTAAACCAGTGGTAGAGCACTTGCCTAGAGTAAGTGTTCATAGATAACACATAAATAGATTTCATGTTAAAACATTCAACTACCCAAAGCACTTTCCTTAAAACCTTACCTTCCCCTCCCCCATTCCAGTCTCCTCCTTAGAGATAACTACAGTTAGAAGTACAGTATGAGTTCCTTAGCCCTGAGTTGTCTCATAGGGGAGTCCCAACCCATACATGGTTATTGAGCACTTGAAATAGCCTAGTTGAGCATCCTTGTTGATACAAGTATAAAAACACACCAGATTTAAAATATTAGTATAGAAAAATATATAGTTTTTATATTGATTACATGTTGAAATGAAAATCATAGAGACAGTAAAAAAGGTCAGAAGGTGCCAGGGATTAAGAGGAAGTGGGGGGAAGGGATGATTATACAGTGCACAGAAGATTTTTAGAGCAGTGAAACCATTCTGTATGATATTTTACTGGTGAATACATATCACAAATTTGTACAAACCTGTAGAATGCATAACACCAAGAGTGAATCCTGCTGTAAAGTACAGACTTTTATTGGTTATGATGTGTCAATGTGGGTTCATCAATTGTGACAAGTGCCCTACTCTGGTGGGGGGGTGTCTGTAAAGAGGAAGGCCATGCATGCATAGTGGCAAGGGACTCATGAGAAATCTACGGACCTTTTTTCAATTTTTCTGCTAGTTTTCTAAAATTCTGAAATACATCTAGAGAGATAAAGTCTTAGAGAAAAATATTTTGGATAAATTGGGTAAAGTAAAATATGCTGTTAAACTAATTTCACCTGTTTCTCTTTACTTTTTTTTAACCTAGCTACTAGAAAACAAGGCTCATGTTCTATTCAACCAGTACTGCTCTAAATGTAGGTTATTCTTTGTGCCTTTACATGCATGTATAAACAGAAATCTAGCTTTTTTTTATTAAAAGAGTGCATTAAGTACAATTGATATTAAATTAATGGCTTTCTTCCTTTTTCTCTTCTTCTTCCTCTTCCTCTCTACCTTTCTTTCTTACTTGACAATCTACAAAGCCTCAGAGTGAAGGAAACAATAATTATTCTTGGACATACAAATACTGAAGTAAGTGCACCTAATATTTGAATTAAACCAACACAGGTACAGATTAACAAGAGGTATTCCCTTGTTGGATAAAACATGGGTCCAAGACAAAAGACCTATAAAACAGCAGCAAAATATCCAGTGGTTATTTTTAAACACTAGATCTAAAATTTCTATTGTGGTCATGTTATCTCCTTCCCTCAGAATTTTTCTTTTCTTTTCTTGCAATAGGCATATTCCCATTACTTTATGCTGGGTGGATACTTAGTGGTAGTTGCTTTTCCAATTTGATTTTTAATGCCAGTAAAGTACCATTTCAAAACAAAACTTCAGTTCTGATAGCTGCTGAGAATAAATGCTGATGTGTATGATTTATGTGATCACTACTTTGTGATTAGTCAAAATAATATTAAAATATTTTATAATGTGTCTAATAGATTTTATTTTATGCAATTATCTGACAATGTCCAGTTCAATGGATTTGGCAAAAGAAATGATCCTGTACAAACTCCTATCCCAGCAGTTAAAAAAATGACTGAAATACATAAACTACACAGACTGCACTTGTAGAAATGGACTGGGAACAGTACACACACAGCTAGTTCTTGTGTTGGACTGGAATGGTGTTTTTTCATGCTCTAGACAAGGTGCTAGCACATGCAACAGTTGTGACTCTTACTTGGGTCAGTGTGGAACCTCCTTGGGGGCAGGAGAGAGACAAAGAACATTAGGCAAGAGTATAGGTACTGTGGAAACGCTCACTGTTTTCATTCCTATGAGTGTTCCTTGGTGCTCTGTCCCATTTGCTTTCCTGTGGTCACATGCTGCCCAGATGAAAAATTTCATCTGAAGGCAGCCTGCTTATTCTCCAACCACCCTGCCCAATGCCACTCCACGATAATCTGGCCAGAGTAAAATGAGGCATTGGATGGTGATCTCCAAAGTTTTCTTTTAGCTGGGAATTTTCCAGTTTTCCCTGGATAGATTCCATGGGAACTATTTTAAATGCTCATAGTGATAGGTCATTTGAAAAGCATTTTTCCCTCATTTCTTTTCTCCCTGTTTCTCACCATCTTTTCCCTTCAATCAAGAAAGAACAGAAAAGCTAGCAGAACATAAATAAAAAGTAGGGTTATACAGAGATTTTCAAGCCTTTCTGAGGTTGAAACAACCATTTGAAACTTAAAAAAATTCTCCCTGAATTTAGATTGACTTCATCTGAGTAGGTACCATCTGGTATAGACACCCAACCCTTCCCCAACCTTTCCCACTTCAGGTCTTGGCAGCTTCAGGTGAGTAAGGCCCCCTGCTTCCCCTTACCCCTGTCCAAGAAGCTGTCAGGAAGCTCTCAGTCAGTATCAGCAGACAGGAAGTGGGCTGGGGGTGAGGGGGTCTCCACCCATTAGCAGCTGCTTAAGTAGTAGGCAGGACAACTTTTTCTACAGAAAAATTCAGGTCAGCAGATACTCCAAATCAATTTATACCACATGCTACCCAGTTTTGGAATTAAAGTAAAATCCTCAGAAAGGAACTGTAGTACCAGTTCTCTTGTTTTCCCCTTACCTTCTGCTTGGCATTCCAAAGAATAAAATGAGAGCAGTTGGACATGGCAGCTTAAAGAGAATTATTAGGCAGCTAGAGGGATGTGAAGGCAGCACACACCCGGGGAAGTTATCTACATGGAACACCGTGTATCAATGATTAAATGTCAAGACCCATCATTGTCCATGTGGTGACGTCTATATAGGCTTAGTAACTCGCTCTTTCACACTTAACCAAAGGACTGCTTTGACAGATTATCAGAATCTTTTGGGGTGGATGGTGAGTAGAGTGGGGAAAGGAGTGAAGTAATTTTTCAAAAATGACCTCATTTTTTAAAAAAGCAAAATAATATTATCACTTCAGTGGTTTTGCTATAGCTTATAGCAAAAATCTTAGAGTGACATGTGAAAGAGACGTTTTGCCAAAAATCAGAAAACATTTCAAAATAAGTCATTATGGATTACATTAAAACTCTAAAAAAAGGTGTATAAACCTATGTTTGTCTATCAGATCTTAATGCTTTTTTTGTTAGCTCTTTCCTTGTGGAAAATGCTTGACTTTTTTGTATGCCTGTTCTTAACAATAATTTACTTTGACCTTAACGAGTGGGTAAGGACTGGGTACATAATGTTAATGTGTATTAGAAATAATGGTTATTATTCCCTTAACAGTAGGAAAATATTAAATGGTTACCTCTGCGAATGTGTTCCGATTGGCTTGCAAGCCAACTTTTACTACCTCAAAAGGGTTAACCACGATGGCTTCTGTTAGTCCGGATCCCAATCCAGCAATGGCAAATGTCTAGAAAAATTAGATCAATCAATACTTTAAAACAAGCAATCACGTGTACGGGTTAAGCTCACTGTTCATCACACTGTGCAGCTGAATGTTACGATGAGAATGCAGAAACCTCCGTAAGTGCAGATACCATTACTAAACAGCCTTAATTCTTGATTAGATGCTGACAATTCATGGAGGAAAAATTACAGAAGCCACAAACCACATCCTAACAATTTCAAAATAAAATGTCAAAGCCTCATCAGCAATGACTTTTTCCTTTAACAAAAGGCAAGGTTGTCTTACTGATCGAAGGTGGACCCTAGAACATTTATTTGCATATCTAACACAAGAGGGTTTGAATTGCAAAAGTATAGCCTCATTTTTAAACATCTGCTGACACTCATTTATTGTCATTACACATAAAGAAATTCAAGGAGCAGAACCACAAATAAAATGTTTATAAAAACATGGACTAGCAGAGTGGCTCAAGTGAGGCCCTGAGTTTAAACCACAGTACCACAAAAAATGTTTATAAAAAGCTAAATTTCAGGTAACAGTATAACTGGAAACTCTCAAATCTATGGTTCTATTCCTGTAGTCACTATTCAAAATTATTAATTAATAAAATTTTTTATAGGTGACCACCCAATTTTTCTGGACTAAACTCTGAGGAATAAAAGGTGAGATCAGAAATGGTTAGGTTGTCTTGAAGGGCTCAACTAAAATCTTGAACATTTATCAAAAGATTGCTTTATGACCAGGTCAGGTGTGGTGGTTCACACCTGTAATTCCAGTTACTCAAGAGGCAGTGGCAGGGGGATCATGATCTGAGGCTGGCCCAGGCAAAAGCACCAAATCCTATCAGAAAAACAAACTAGTATGAAAAGGTTATAATAAAACCTCTTTTCTTTAAATTGCAAGAAAGATAAGGGTGGGAGGAGGGTATGATCAAAATACTGTATATAAAACCTCTTTTCTTTAAATTGCAAGAAAGATAAGGGTGGGAGGAGGGTATGATCAAAATACTGTATATGCATTATGGAAATATCACAACGACCTCCTCCCACTGTACAATTAATATGCACTAATTAAAACATGGAAAAGATTTACAAAAAATAAAAAAAGCAAAAAGACTTGGGCATGGCTCAAGTGATAGAGCATTAGCATAGCAAGTATGAGACCCTAAATTCAATCCCCAGTACTGCACCCCCCCAGCAAAAAAAAGACTACATGTCAGGTTCTCACTTGCTATCTGTTAAGAATTTCAGCAATAGGAAAGAACAATTTTATGGATTTTTCTTCTAAGTAGAATGCCTGAGGGTTTTCCAGAAAATCTACATAAGAAATAGCCACAAAAATTAAACCATACACACAAAGCAGAATCTTTTTCTCTCTTTTGTGGTACTGGGGTTTGAACTCAGGGTCTCATACTTGCTAGGCAGATGTTCTACCACTTAAGCCATGCCCCCAGCTCTACAAAAGCAAAAAAACAAATTGAAGTAAAGCCTTCGGCCTCCAAAACAGATGCTGGAAAAAAAGTAATTCTTTGCTGCTGAACTTCTAATTCCAGGAGAAAATGCATTATAACCAGAAACATCTTCTAAGGAAGAGTAAAGGAGAGACAAGACTTATTAATGGTCTCTAATATGTTCAAAAAGAGAGAAAGGAGGAAGGAATGTTGAGTGACCTCAGAGGAGAGATTGTGGGGAAGGAATAAGGCAGAATCCAGATCTGGGAGGGGTGGGTTTAGGTCCTGGTTCTGCCACTTAGTGGCCATGTGACAAGAACTGCCCTGTACAGGAGTTTGTACACAAAGGTGGTCAGCCAAGGGCATGTGTAGGTTGAAATCCACTCTGCACCCTCTTGCTAAGCTAGAGCCCTGGAGAGGTAGCCTTTTCATGCACCTGTGCAGAGGCACTGTATGTGCTACTGAGACTGTGAATGAATCACAGAACCTTTTGCAAGCCACAGTTTTTTCATCTGAAAAATGTGGATGATAACATCTAATTTCTCTACCTCATAAATTTATTATAAAAGTCAAAATACTTGTGAAAGCTCTTTGAGAGTGCTTTACAAACACCAGTGTTCTTATTGCACATACAAAGAGAGGAAGAATGGATGCATACAGATTCTCAGGGAGAAGGAATAACTAATGTTTTCCTTTTATCCCACTTCATTATAATTTCAAGCATAATTTGTATAGGGTAACTGACCAAATATTTTATTCATTTATCTCAGACTTCCATCATGGAAGCCAAAAGTGGAAGAAAAAAAAATACGCTTCCCAAACTCTTCTGACTGGGAAAGCTAAAATCCAGATGTTCAGGTTTTTATTACGTACTATATATATGCAATCTTCCAAGTAATTCACTTTTTTGTTCTTCTATAAAGCTCAGCTACATGTGCTGTCAGAACTAGTGTTCAGCAGTCCCTTGTCATAAGAATTGATCAGATATCAGCAGATCATGTTACCTAGATTGCTGCAGAGACCTGCCTTTACTGTGGGGGTTTGCAGTCTCCTGGGCTTTTCACGTGAGTACCAGGGTATATTTAATGGCTAAGTGCCACAGTGTATCAAGAAAGAAACTGGAATAAATGAGTTCAAGAAGAGAACCATATACAGTGTGCATGCTTTCAGTTACTGAAACTGGAGTGGCCAAGTGCTTTTCTGTTTCCACTCTCAAGACCAAAAGACCTGCAGTCTCTCACATGGTTCCAACGCTCAACTCAAGAACAGCCAGCTGGCCCTCTGGAAACCATATTTATTGTCTTTTACTAGGAAGTATTTAATACTCTTTTTGCCAAGATGTTTCAAGGTTAAGAATGACATTTAGGGAAGACATTGAGGGATTAAAAGCAAAATCTTAATGTAATTTTGAGATTCGTAGTATGATTGCTCCTTTCTGGGACGTGTGCCTCACAGTCACCCTGTTTAGTCAGGAAGCTAGACAGAGATTTCTTTGTCATAACAAAAGGTATTTCTTTCTTAACAGATTCTGTATAGAAAGAGGGCATATATGATTTAAAAAACAATAACAAATATTTCTTCTTGGATGGTGTGTTTGCTAGAATTTATACTCTGAAATAAACCTTTACAAGTGAAGTACAGATGGTGCCTGATACACAATGGTTCAACCTACAATTTCCAACTTTATGATAGTGCCAAAAATGAAACAAATTCCATACTACAAATTTTGAATTTCAATCTTTTCCCAGGCTAGCAACATGCGTACCATACTATCTCCTGATGCTGGATCCTGGCAGTAGACCAAAACTCTTAGTTAGCTGTGCCACCAGGAGGGTAAACCACCTATACTCTACAGCGTACCGTGTTGCTAAGTTGTAATATCGGTAGGTTAAATGCATTTATGACTTACTATGTTTTAAATTTATGGTGAACTTATGGGGCTTGGCTCCATCATGAATTGAGGAACATCTAAATGAAAGAGTTGATGTTCAGAATATTATTATATCAGTTGAGTTTTGAGGTACATTTCAGCAGGCAAATGGGAATTTCCCCAGGGACTGGAAGGTCCATTGGCAATTGGAGCAACAATGTCCTTTGTTTTGTTTTCCTTTGCAGATTTGGAGGGAGAAGTGAGTGCATTTTCTCTTTCTCTGAGGCTCTTGGGGCACACACATTTGACCAATATAATCTAACTTGCTTTATGAAGAGTTATAAAGTCACCAAGAAGAAGAGAAGTGGCATAGGGAAATGTCCAAATCGCTAAGTGAGTTTTGTGTAATAGTTGAGCTGTGTCATTGCAAGATCACTATTCTCCCTGGCCAAGTTGTTTATAGTCATTCCTGTAAAAGGTCCCTCAGTCTGTGCCTGACCACAGAGTGATTTTGTGACTTGAAGTCCTATATTTATTATAGCTTGAGCAACAGCTGGAAAAGTGACCTGCTAGAAAGCAATCTCAGGCACATTGACTTTCACATAAATAGATATGTGCAGTGTGGATGTAAATACATACACATTTTGCTTTAAAAGAGTCTTTGATAAATGCACTCTTTATTTATATTCTTGACCATATCTCATATAGGCTTTTCCAAACTTATTGTTATTATCATAAATTCATCACCGGGAGCTATAAAATGGCCAAATTGTGAGTTATTAGGAAGATGGCTTTCAACAAGTAGCGGAACATAGAATAACTCAAATTCATATTTTAGTAGCTGGGCTGAGAGAATCAAAAGGTTTTTTGTTTCTAGATTTTGCTTTATGAAATAACACACATACTTAAGTATAATAAATACTCTCACTTACCAGTGCTGGTGACAGTGACATATATCCTAGCAATTTCTTGTACTGCTCAAAGGTGAAAAACTGTGAAATAAAACCAAGCCCAGAGATTTATAATAATTTCCTGCACAAGCCTCTTAATTGACTAAAATTTCTTTATTTAAAATCATCATATCTACCAGCATTTAAAAAAATGATAAACCATCTAACAGATTTTAATACTGTCTCGGGTAGTTGCCATTGGATCTTATTTTAACATTCACATTTTTCAAATGCAGTTATAATCACCTACAGAAGAGCTGATGAAATCCTTTATAGCAATAAATGAACCATACAACTTCCATTTACCATGACCATTTTCAGTTTCCCCAGACATCAATAGACTTCTTTTTTTATGGCAGTGATTCAAAATTATAGGCGAAATCTTTGGCCTCCTATGTTTTCTCTATGAACAGCTTTCCCAGTGAGTACCCAATTTTCTAACACACTTGTAAAAGACATCTATTTCTCAGTCTTAACTTGCATTTCTATTGCTGTGCCTCCTGACTGCTCCATGGAATTATTAAACATTAAGTGATTATGAAGATGGCATGACAGCATGAGGCCTGAGTTCAATCCCTAGTACTGAAAAAAAAGTGCCATGACAAACCAGGGAAAGGTCCAACAAGGTTATCTAGTCCATTCATGCCTTAAAGCAAGACTGTCCTCAACCCAAATGGAGACAGCTACTCATTCCTTCCTTTAAAATCTAAACAAAGCAAGAAGATGTGATTCTTATGATCATGATCATTAAGATATTAATTTCTTCAGAGATGATATTTAATTCTTTCTGCAAACAAGTTTCAATGGAGGCAAGTTGAATTAATTACTTCATAACGTGTATTTTCCTCTCCTCTCTTTCTATATTTTGGGAAACAACTCTGCTTAGACAGGATGTTCTACTCCTGGGTAGTCAGTTGGGTAACTGCCAACATCACTGATAAGGGGTACTCTTAGGATCTGGTAGGTCTGCTTCTCAGGATCCAAGAAATAGTATGGGAAACCAAACATTTTTTACTCTATTACTTTATAACCCAATAAAACGGTCAAGAAAAAAACATAGTTTTGGGGGCCAGTAGTGCTCTGTTGTTAGAAGGAGATGGTTCCTTATAGATATGGTCTAGGGAGCCTTTGGATAGCCAAAGAATCATAACACCAGATGGATTTTGATTCTTTTAAAAGACCTAAGAACTACTTTTGTGCCACGGTCCTTTAGATCAACCATGAATTTGTACTTCTCTAGAACAAGAATTCACGCAATTAGTCATCTAGTAAAATTTTATTAGATTCCTTCCATTCTAGGCAGTAGGAATCCAGTAAACAAAGCACAAACCCCTGTTTCTTGATGCCACACTCTAGTGGACAGTGTTAACATAGTACTCAGCAGGTACCATTACTATCATGATGAGAAATGCAGTGGAGACCAATTATCATAGAAGGAAAAGTGTTAGTCTTGGGTTTAGAGACAATTTACTTTTCTTCTGTTTTATGATTGCCATCATCTCTAGGCTTTGATAGTCACCTTGTTAGAATTTTGAAGTTCACAGTCCTGAATCTGGGTCCTGGCTATGCCATTTAATTGTGCAAGCATGAGCAAGTTGCTTAACCTGTCTAACCCTCATCAACACAGAACTTATCCATTAGCATTGTCATTAAATAAGGGAATTTAAGTAAGATTCCCTGACATGCCTGGCACATAGGAGACTTCTGAAAAATTTTGGTTTCAGTTTCCTTTCCATGTCTTTACTTAGATTATCAAAGGATAATGTACCACTCATGAGAATATACTGTGGTCCAGGAAATAGGTTATGACCTTTGCATGTGCTTCTGCATTGAATCTATATGGTAATATCACTAGATAAGAGGCTAGAGTATATGCATAAGTCTCATGATACATGGGAGTGAGGGACTGAGATTCTTCCTAAGTCCAACTCTAAAGCCTGTGTCTGCTCTTACCCCTATACTATACTTAGTCCCTGCTCTGCTCTGCTTGTTAGTGGTTTGGGAAATGAGTTTCTGTCCTGGGGCTTCCTTGCTACTGGGGATGAGGTCTTCTTGCCTTCCATCACACCTGAGATGGTCATGAAGAATCTGGAAGTCCTAGAATTCCTCAAGACAGAAGATTTCAAACTTTTGTGACCAAAATCTACATAAAATATTTATCAAACACACATTGCATAAGCATGTGGTCTTGCATTCATAAATGAAATAAAACAAGGATATAAAACAATATTTACTCTTTCTGTATAATGACTGTATTTTTTCTGGTCTATTTCTTTAAAATTTTTTTTCTGGTCACAGCCCATTATATCCACTAAGTTGATTTCATGGCCCATGGATCATGACCCACATTTTGGAAATACTGCTTTAGGGACTCCAGTCTAAGGGATTGGGTTAAGGGAAATTCTGGATGATGATGGACTTCATAGAAATCTCCACTGTCTTAGTAACTTCCAGGATGAAGATGCATCTGTTCAGTATTTGTCTTTGTTTTATTTTTTATCTTCTGATCATTACAAGGGTTAAAGACCAAAATGGAGTCAAGAGAAAAGTCTAGGGACATGCACTCAGCAATTATCACAGGGATTTCCAAGTCTACACCTTGGGGCAATTCTAGGCTTTTGTTTTTTGTTTCCCTACTTCTAAAATCATTTTTTAAACCCAAATTATTTCTAGCAATCTTTCTGAAAGCTTTGAGTGAATGGCTAGGATAAAATGATTCAGGTTCCTGGGAATAAAGGAGCCTTACACAGTGATAAATTACTGGTGTACCAAATCAAAAAGGAATAAACAGTACATTATGATATATTTAAATAAGTAAACAGGGCTCAAAACAAAAATCTTATTTTAATTTGTACCTTTCCAACCAAAACCTCATTGACTGAATATAAAATAAAACAGTATCTCAAGAAAAGGAAAGCTAAAAATATTTTTAAATGGGTTTTTAATAATAGTAAAATAATATAAAAGTCTTTATTGTAATTTGAAACCAATATTTATTAAAAACATTCATTCATCCATATATTAACAAATATTTATTAGATGTTTCCTATGTTTAAGGCTTAAAGAGCATTATACTCTCTCTCTCTCTCTCTCTCTGTCTCCTAGAGAGAGAGACTGGAGTTTGAACTCAGAGCTTCATGCTTGCAAGATACTCTTAGGAACAAATTGACTAGCTGTTATTTTAATTCCTTTCCATACAACACTACTCCTTAATGGCTTTCATTGGTATTTCTTAATAATTTCTTAATCACAATATTAGTTCATACATCGATTGATTAAAGTGTCCTATTATTTAAGATGTGAAGCTACATTCTAAGGATGAAATTCAAAAGGTCAGGGGCTAGGGGCATGGCTAAAATAGTAGAGTGCTTGCCTAGCAAGTATGAGCCCTGGATTCAATCCCTAGTATCACAGAGAAAAGCTCAGCAAAAAGTTTCCTCCAAAGTCATGCAAATCACAGCTAAGAAGTTTTGAAACCATTCATACTCAATCAAGGTAATCTGGAACCCAAATTAATTTCTATATAACTTGTGCTGGAATCCAGAAATTGGTAATCAGGCTGGATTTATGGTCTATGTGATCCTTGGAGAAGTGTCACATTATGGTAGGGCAGGGGACATTTGTATACCTTGCCTGGTAGAACTAGTTCTTTACTTTTCACTTTATTTTCAAACCATGGTCATTAAGCAGAGTGATGATCATCCTGATACTCTGGATATTCTATTCTGGGAGGATGCAGTTAAGTTATATAGAAGCACTTGAATCTTGCTTTTAACAAGTGGGACCTGAGGAGTGCACAATCTAGGGCTAATTCTTACCTACTCCTGAGGCAAGACCTTTCTGAGCCCTCCTCCCAACACCCTGTGAGTGTTGAGTCTTTCCAGGTTGGTTGATGGGTAAAGGCCCTGTTCCTAGTCCTGTGTTATTGCCAAGAAGTGTGCCTCTAACCCTGTTGGATGGTTCTTTTCTTTTTTTGGTGGGCCTGGGATTTGAACTCAGGAGCTCTACCACTTGAGCCACATTTCCAGTCTTTTTCACTTTGTTTATTCTGCTGGATGGTTCATTCCTGGGCCTTTGCAGCTTCCTCACAGGCCTGCACTGGACAGTACTTCACTGAATGTTTACAACAGGGTCCTTCTTCAGACCTTAGGAGCTCTCTTTCCACGAAGCTTGCTTTTCCTTGGTACTCTGTCCTGTGAGCTCTAGCTACCTTGCTTTTCCTAGCCTCTCAGTAACTTCTTGACTCAGGAAGTTCACTGGGTTCTGCCTTTATTTCCCCAGCATACTCAGGGCCTGGGAATACTCTTAAGTCAGTAAGCTAGAGCAATCACAGGGTTCATCTGGTTTGTTTTCCCCTATCAGGTAGTACTGTACTTCATTTTCTGGTGTCTACGGTCTTAAAAATTGTCTCATATGTTTTGTTCATTGTTGTTTCAAGTAAGAGAGTAAATTTGGTCCTTATTGCTCCATCTTGACAGGAAGTGGAAGCCTTGGCTCTCAAGATACTCTAAATAGTAAATGTAGGAAGGGAATTTGAGGAAGCAGAATCTATATTCTGTAATATATATATTATGTAATACATATTTATGTAATATGTATTACTTTTTCTATAAATTTTCTTTCTTTTCTCTCTATATCCGTTTCATTTTTCAACTGAACATCAACTATGTGTAGACACCATAATAGGTATGTGTATACAGTAGTAAACAAATAGCTTTTGCAAATATAATCTCTCATGAGTTTGGTCAGTAAAGCAGTATTTGAAAATATGAACATAGAAAATGGTATTTCTGAACCTGTGAAGCTTAACACCAGACTGTGGGATCCAGAACTTGGAGCCCCCTATTTTTCAGGGACTAGTTGGTTTCTTTCAGAGGTCTTGGTTTCCTTTTGCTAACTCTAATACTAATTCTGTCTTAATTTTTTGAAAGGGCTCATTTATTTAGCACCAGTGGGTCTTATTTTAATGATGAATCTTATTCAAAGAATAAAATACAGATGAACACAAAATTAGCTGTTTCTGATTATGATAACAATCATAACTGAAGTGTCTGTACCAGGGAACACATACACACACGCATGTGTACACACAAGAGTCTCTGAATTTTTACTCCGAGGTAAACTTTGATGACATACAATGAAGCAGTTTATGGTGTATGAAATTGTTACAATCAGGTGATTGCTTTCCTCACAAATCCTAAGATAAATATCCATAAAATGAAATGTTTTCACAAACTGTGCTGAAAACCAGTGCTATCCATCTGGCAAAGATACACTCAACTCCAAGTTATACTTAAAAAAGCCAACATACTTACCATATGTTTCAATAATTTTAAGGTAAAATCTACTTGAAACAAGACGTCTGGGGCACATACACCATACCATATCCAGTTGCCCAAAAGTTCATCTGTTAACCATTGTTCTGGCAAGGAGCACCACTTTATTTTGCTTTTTTTTTTTTTTAAGTAGAGACAAACAGTTTTGTAAAGCTCAACTTCTCTTTTTCTGTAAAAGATTGTTCAAAGTTGATAAACCTTAATCCTCTTAAAGTTTAAATTGTCTCCAATATATAGTACTAAGGAAAAATATTCCTAGAAAAACTCTAATTATAATTTACTTTATTTGTATATATAAAACACTGAACAAACGAACATATTATTCCATGGAGACGAAGTGACTTTCCTTTTGAACAGGAACTCAGCTCTGTTTGTTTACTTGGGCAATCTTTTATCAAGTGAAGCCATTTCATAATTCAATTCAGCCCTTTTGTGTACTTTGGTGAACTTTTTCCAGATTCTCTACTGCAATTCAAATTATTATATTGAAATTCGTGTTGAAGTAATAATATAAAATCACAAAACTACAGCAACAAAGAGGACAAATTTATAGAGAAAGTATGTTTTGAACCTTTGTTTTTTGCATTTAAGACCTGAATTAAATTCTATTAAATTACTATTTTGACATAATGTAAAAGTTAGATGTTTGTGTATATAAGTTGATTATTTCATCATAATTTTGAATCCAGTCGCCCCCTTGACTTAACTCAATAAAACTATTTAAGTGGTTCTTTATTGCCTTTTAGGAATATTAGGAGTGTAAATTGAGTAATGTATGTGAACAAAGCTTTATTTCATTAAAATAAATAAAAAAGTTTGAAAGAAGTCTTTTAGTCTAAGTTTATGCTATTTCATTGAAAGAAAAGCCATATTTGGTTATGTCAGTGGGGCAGGGATACAAAGCCAGTCAGAGTCACTTCAATCAGGATTTTTGTTGAGAGAACAATAAAAAAAAAAGTGTGTGTAGAGTTCTTCTATCACCGGAGGCTCTGGCACACTCCTATTTCTGTCCGGATACTGAATGAGCAAGTATACAAAATTTCCACAGTCATGTGGTTAAAGAAGTAGAAATCAGTGTGATAGAAATAATGGTTTTATAAGCACCAGAGTAGAGAATTTTAATAGAGGAGACTAAGGGGGAAAATAAAATTGCCATGCCAAATAAATGTTATGTAAGAATCATATACAAAGAAATATAGTGTGCTTAATAAAATGAGAATGATTCAGGAAGGAATCATTTTTCCTTAATAATTATTACTCCAAAGGAATATTTCTGAATTGCTTTGAGAAAACATCCAAGCCATTTTGTGGCTTCTGTAGTTTGATTACACGAATTTCATTCACTGATGTGTTTTTGTTTTTGTGTATTTGATTTCCTCTATTAGAGTACTTTTACCTGAAAAAACCTACGAACCCATATACATGTTTAAGAGAGTGACTAAGTCTAATTATAAAATTAAAATGATGTTGTAATTTATGCATTAAAATTGTTAATGTTTTATATTCAGTCACATTAGTGTCCTCTGGTTTATCTTGAGATGTTTCACTTGGTGGGAAGGCATACCATGCTTACCTTCACTGCTCTTTTTGGTGTTTCAGCTAAGATGGGTGGCAGAATTCCCTTGTAAAAACCAAACAGCCTGGTGGAGAAATAAAAAGATTTTATGTAAGTAAGTGAATTAGGAAACACTTTTTTTTTCTTTTTTGCGGCACTAGGGTCTGAACTCAGGGCCTCACACTTGCTAGGCAGCAGGTGCTTTTACCACTTGAGCCACTCTGCCAGCCTTTTCTTTTGTTTAGGGATAAAGCAACTAATCCTAAAGTATTCCCAGTTACTCGGTGTGGCACACCAACCGGGAAGTTTTCTTTGTTCTCACTCTAAAGTGAGCATATGGATTTGATATTGTTAGCGTTATGATATTCAGAAGATGGCTATGTGATACTGAGTCTGGGATCTCTTAGTGCACTGCTAACCGTGACCATGAGTTGTCCCTTACAGGTGAAGATGACCCTTGTCACTCTAACTCAAACTCATCTCAAACTTATTTTCTCAGTTCAAGCAATCTATAATCTCCCATTTCCTCAATCTGGTAACCAAATGAGGATTGAGTTATACCTGAAGTCACTAGACTGGATCTTTTTAAGCTAGCAAAGTGATAAAATCTTCAATTTTAGCTTTACTAACAAGCTCTGTGTCTGTGGTGCCATGGATCCCAGACCTGTTCTGAATTAGTCAAAATTATTTAACTTCTTCAATGGAAAAAAGTCAGGGAAGGCCAACTATAGGGATTCTTTCTTTCTTTCTTTCCTTTCTTCCTTCCTTCCTTCTTTCTTTCTTTCTTTCTCTTTCTCTTGCAACTCTCTCTCTCTCTCTCTCTCTATATATATATGTAATGCCTTCATTTTAAACTTGCAAATATATAAATAGAGGAGAACATTCTGCATTATTTTCTGAGGTAATCAGTTTTCCTAATTCAAAACTGATTTCAAAAACTGGCTACAGATAAGGGCAAGGTTCAATATGTCTCTCTGTTAGGATGGTCAGTTAACATGGGGCGGAAATTTCTCTGATTGATCCCTCAAGCTTCACCCCAACTCTCTTGAATAGGGTCTGCTTTTCCCTGTGCTTCTGGAGCAAGTAGTTAAGAGTTTATTTTGACTAGACTACTGTGCCACTCAACCCAAAATAGTGACTCTCGCTCTTCCACAATTCACTACCCTAAGCAGTTCACTTCAGTGAAGGGAGCAAGGGATTCCTGTAGCTTCTAAATTGTCAACTCCTTAAAGGTAGTGTGCCCTTTGGCACAGAGTCCTTGTTTTTGTGCATACAACAAAAAATTGTTAAGTATATGTTAATCAAAGGAGGAAGAAAGGAATCAAATGATCCTCTGCTATGGGATTACTTTCTTCACTCTATTTGACTTAATGGGATTGTGTTAGTATGATGACTGGAAGTAAAACAGTCATGATTTGAAGAGCTATGAGAATTCATGAATTGCCCTACCCCCTCCATTTTAACTTCTGGTGCCTCAAGTTCTCACATCCACACTTATTTCCTGAAGATACATGCAAAAGTTAAATCCTTTTCATCATTGTAAATTAGTTATTACTTAATTTTCAGCAAGAGAGTGGCTTAGCATGGGTTTGAGCTTCCCAAAAGATAAATGTGATTTTGTTGAATAGAAGTTCTGTGTCTATAATGAAAGAGTTTTCTTAGTTTTGCTCTTTCTGTGCTGATGTTTTCACATCTGGAAGATTATGCCTGGTTATGGACAAAATAATTAAGAGGAACACTTAAGCAGGTAGAGCTTTAAAACAGAGTGTGCAGGTTACCAGAAAGACTTGAAATCCAATATGATAGAGAACAGTTATAGAAAGAACAGATGCTTAGCCTGGAGAACCATCTTAGGGAGAAATAAGACCATGATGGAGCTCTTGAAAGGCAAGCATGAAGGAAAGATATTAGATTTTTCTGTTTGTCTCCAGGTGATAGAACTGGGACCAACAGGTGGAAGCAACAAAGAAAGACAGATTTTTGGCCAGTTGGAGCTTACTGGGAGGAGTACTTCTAAAGTCAAAACTGTTTAAAGATAGAATGAGCTCTGCTGAAAAGTAGTTAGCTCCAATTTGGCATGTGTCAGAACAGCCTGGACAACCACTGGGTATCAATGTCAGGGAAAGGATGTGTACAGCAATGGGTGGACTTGATGGTTCTCAAGCTTTGTCTATTTAGATTCTGCTATTTAAGAAAAGAACAAGAAGGCCTTGGAAAGTGCTTTTCTGAAGGAACACTCTGCCTTAATTCATAGTTTTGCCTCAAATATAACACTGTTTCTCCAAAGGAGAGCTAAGTCTTATAAGCAACACAAAAGGACTTCATTTTAAAAGTGATGGGAGAAAATATTAAAAAGCGGTGTAAGGCAGGAGGGAAGAGAAAAGCAGCTGGAAGAAGCATAAGGATTTAATCTGAAAGAGCTGGGAGGTCCAGAGGACTCTGCTTCATAAGTTGGCGATGCTTCATTGATGGGCTCTCCTTCTCCTTTCTCTGTTAACCTTCTTTCATGTGTACTCCCCCATGTCTGAGCATTTTAACAGTAAATGAACAGTTTTAACTGAAAATTCTGAGGGACCATAGGCAAATGAGAGGCTAGAACCATCTACTTCCTCTCATTGTTTTCACAGTATATTCATGCAATTGGAGTCAAGTATGGAATAGTCAAGCCAGCACTGCCTCTGCAGACAATGGCCACATCCAGCTATTTAAACCACTGGAACCAACATATTAGTACAGAATGACACAGCTCGGAGACAGGGGTTGATTGAGTATCTTACTCAAATGGGTCCAAATGGCATTCTACTTTGTCTCACTCTGATTCAAGCTAGACCCATCAGAGCTTTTCTCCAGGGTTTTGGAAAGGGTACTGAAAAGGTCAGTCTTGCTCTGTGTGATTAAAGCTCTCAGACATAAAGCTAACATGTCAATGGCAGTCATGTTTTCTGCCATTTGGAAAAAAGTCAATCTGCAATGATTTAAAAAAAAGAAGGAAGTCACTATTCAAAGAGACACAGAATCAAGAGAGTTCTGGTGCTGTGTCTGTAACTCTGGTGCTTAGTTACATCTGGACTCTCTTGAATATTGTTAATTACCTCTGCCTTTAATTCTATGAGATGAGCAGTAAAATTTTCAATAAATTCTCTTTTTTACTTAAATAAGTGTATGTTGGATAAAATACTTACACCTCAGAGTCCTAGATCCAGAAAGTAAACCTCATGGTTCCCATAGCCAAAGTGCTATTGCAGGACATCCAGGCCATGTCTTCTCACAGGACGGAATTTTTTAATTTACTTACATACATAACTATTACATATTACATAAATATAGGGGAAATGTGAACAAGGCCTCGACCTGACAACCTATTTCTCTGACTGGTTTAGATAGCTATTGAAAGTTTTCCTTGTGGGAAATATGACAGACAGGTTAAGAAAACAAAGGAAATGATCATGTTTTATGAAGAAGGCACTTTTTTCTGCCAAGAGACTGATTCCTATTATTCACACACACTGTTCATTCTGCCTTCATGTAATTTGGGTTTGCTATAAGAGCATATAGCTTTTTAGGACAACTATCAAAGAAGTGAAGAGATTGGTGACACATGTCTTAACATACTCCATGCTGCTTACTTCTCGAGAAACAGATTGCTGCCTTTGGTCTACTTGCTGGATTAACAGACAATGGGATTCTAAATGTTTATGTAGCATAAGGCACCACTTGGCTTATAAGTTTTGACCCATGTCAAGCTAACTGGAGAAATCTTTAGAAGAGGCACAAGAGTCACTGAAAGACTTCTTATGAAGTGCAGTATGAAGTATATGGTAGCCCTCATAGTTTGTTCCTTAAAGTGTTACTTTTAAAAGGGATGAGTTTGATTTTAACTGTCTGATGTGGGAAAATATGAACTTGGAGTTTTATGGACTTTCATTGATATTCTTAGAAGTAAAAATAGTCAAAATCTGATGAATGCTCCATATCTACTAGCTACTCTGCATTAAAGAGGCACATGTAGATATGTGTACACACAATAATCTCAGTGAACTTTCATACTCATACTTTGAAATAGGCATCTTTATTTTTCTTTTATTTTATAGGTGAAATCTACTCTGTCACATCATTGCCAAATGGAGTACAATGACTTACTCAAGTTCTTTTGCCCTGTCACAGTTCATGGCCTGACTATTGGGCTATACTATATGGAATTTTTGCTTGAAAAGCTACTTTTTTTCAATGCTAGGGGTCAAATCCAGGACTTTACACATGCTAGGCAAGAGCTCTATCACTGAGCTCTAGCTCCGGCCTGAAACAAAACTACTTTAGTAAAAACATTTGAAAAGTTATTTATGTTGCAACAATATCTTATTATTTCTTATTTCAAAAAAAAAGCAGAAATGGCGATTTAAAGTCAGATCTTTACTCCAATTTCCATTCAATTGTGTTGTAAAGTAATATCAAACACTAAGTGTATAACTGATAGCATTGGCCTAAGATAAACGAGATCATTTTTGTGAAAGCTTTTGGATTGTTAATTAAATATTTTCTAGTTGTACAAGAATAAGAAAATAAAACAGGCCTTAGGATAAACATTTTTATCCCTAAGAAAAATTTTTGCTTTAAGAAGCATGCCAGGATAATTCTGTCATTGTAAGAGAAGGAAAATTAATCCTTCAGCAATATGATAAAGCACTGAAACATTAACATTACATATTAAAACAAAATTGTTATTATCCACAATGTCAGTGGGGAAAACTATTGTTTACTGACTGAACAAATCCACCCTCTCACTTTCCTGTTCCTCAGAGGTCAGGTGTTCACCGTTCCCTACGCTCAGGGAGGACATTTCTTCTCTATCCCATGTGCAGAAGCAGGATTGTTCAAGACAGTCATGGTAATCCTCATTCCTTGCTAGTGAGTGGGTTGGCCAGGGGCATATGATCCAAACCTAGTGGGACCAGTGAAGACTGTACTGGAAGTCTTGGATTTCTAGTCTAAGAAAAAAAGGTACTGAGAATTAAAGTCCCTCTGTAGAGGATGTGGTCCTTATTTCATAAGATGCCTATTCATGGCAGTCAAGTGAGACATCACAAG